TTAAATTTTTTTCCACAACTTGGCCATGTACACTCAAATGGTTTTTCATCTGGTTTTTTTTTGTAAAGAAAAAAATTCAAAAATAAATCAATAATCTATATAATTAACAAAATGTATTCATTATACCTGAATGTGTTCGTTCCTTATGCCTTTTTAGATTACTGGATTGACTGAAACATTGATCACAATGTTCACATTCATATGGTTTTTCACCAGTATGAATTCGTTCATGTTTGGTCAAATTTTCTTTACAGTTAAATTTTTTTCCACAACCAGGCAATGTACACTCAAATGGTTTTTCACCTGTATGAATTCGTTCATGTCTGGTCAAATATTCTTTACGTTTAAATTTACATTCACAACCTGGCCATGAACACTCAAATGGTTTTTCACCAGTATGTAATCGTTCATGTCTGGTCAATTGATCTTGAGTATTAAATTTAGACTCACAACCTGGCCATGTACACGGATGTGGTTTTTCATCTGGTTTTTTGTGCAAAGAAAAAAATTCAAAATTAAATTAATATTCTATATAATTAACAAAATGTATTCATTATACCTGAATGTGTTCGTTTCTTATGCCTGGTAAGATCATCAGATTGACTGAAACATTGATCACAATGTTCACATTGAAATTGTTCATTATCAGAAGATGATGTTGTTGCTGATGATGAAATTGCAAGTCTGTAAAAAAAATCAATTAATCATTATGCAAAAAAAACAAAAGAAAAAAAATACTTTATAGTGTATATTTGCGCCGAATGATCACTATATCTGTTTTTCTTTTGCAAAAAATTATCAATCAATCCAGTTGCTTGTTCATTGACTAAAGTTAAATCAATGTAACTTTTTCCCGAATTTTTTCTACTGAATGATGGTTTTGGTGTACTATAAACTTTTAATTTAAATTCACGTATCAAGTTCAGTAGTTTTTGGCCTTTTTTTGTATCATTTCCATGCCAAAATGAATGGTGGCTGTTGAAATCTCCACTCATTATTGTTGGGGTGTCGTTGTTGGTTTTAAGAAAGCCGGTAATTTTTTTTAAATGTACATTAATCGATGAATCTGATGGAAGATACACCGAAATTAAAAAAAATTCCCATGATGATGTGATCAATTTAACACAACATATATCTTTTGAATGAAGTGGGATATATTGTGGAACGATATTTTTATTGTTGATGATGATTATGGCTCGAGGTAGGTTGTTTTGCGGTGAAATAATGGTAAAATTTGAAAAAATTTCCTGGAATTTTTTCGGTGGTTCCGATATTACCACCAAATCACATTGTTTTTTTCTTACCATTTTTATCATTTCGTTTGATGCCTTTCGGCTTTTTTTTAAATTTATTTGCATAACTATCAATGGTTTGTTTGATTCCTGTATAATTTATATCCGAAAACAAATACAAATAACAGAGAAAAAGATTAAAATCATTTGTTTTTGTTGAAAGTCATAACAAATTCTACCAATAATTACCATAATTAAATTGATTGATTTTTGATTTAAATGATGATCATTTAAATAACATTCGTAAATTGAAAATTTATTTGTTTTCAACTCAAAAATAAGAATAAAGGAAAAAGGAAGTTTCTTGAGAAGTATTCTTAATAAGTAAAGTTGCTCCATCTTTGAACAAAGTTTTTTTTTTGATACAGTGGTACCTCGGTTAACAAAATTTTCGGTTAACGATGATTAAAAAACAAGTATTGCATTGTATCTCGGTTAACGATCACCGCCGTTAACCGAGGTACTACTGTATCAAGATGGTGTTGTTAAAGAAGTGGTCCAAGCTTTATTGTTGAAAGATGACTCTGAGTTCAAACGTTAGGGTGAGCAACAGTTACCATTTTTTCTTTAATAGGGGGTTCGCACTAGCAGCAATGTGAATGATATATTTTCGTTAAAATGTTTCAGTCCATAAGGCTGAAATGTAGTGAAATATTGCATTCACATTGCTGCTAGTGTGAATATTGCATCAGTGGATTTGTTGGTCTAACATTTATTACTTTGTTTATGAAAAACTCTAAATTTTAAAACGTAGTTTGTTCGTCTATGAATACTGTTAATATTGATCAAACGAAATTTGGTTTGGAAACGATCGACCAATATGTAAAGTTTTTCAACTGTGTGTTAGCCGTTTATGATGAAATACGTGATATATTTATGAAAGATGTTTATTATTGGTCCGGATTAACATTTATTTCATTAATATTGTTTGTCATTTTTAACGAACACATTCAGGTATGATGAAAACATTTTGTTTATTTACTAATTATTGATTTATTTTTGAATTTTTTTCTTTACAAAAAAAAACAAGATGAAAAACCATTTGAGTGTACATGGCCAGGTTGTGAGTCTAAATTTAATCGTCAAGATAAATTGACCAGACATGAACGATTACATACTGGTGAAAAACAACATCCGTGTACATGGCCTGGTTGTGAATGTAAATTTAAACGTAAAATAAATTTGACCATACATGAACAAATTCATACTGATAATGAACAATTTCAATGTGAACATTGTGATCAATGTTTCAGTGAATCTGATGATCTTACCAGGCATAAGGAACGAACACATTCAGGTATGATTAATACCATTTTGTTTCTTTACTAATTATTGATTTATTTTTGAATTTTTTTCTTTACAAAAAAGAACCAGATGAAAAACCATTTGAGTGTACATGGCCAAGTTGTGGAAAAAAATT